TGTTTCCTGCATTCTCCGAACTCTAGGCGAGAGCGGTGAGATGCTGCTATCAGATGGGCGTCGGATTTTGCCACACGGGGCTAGTGCAACGGCACCCAATTGCATCGAGACTCACAGTGAATTTCGACTGATTGTGCTAGCAAACCGGCCGGGGTTTCCGTTTTTAGGTAACGATTTCTTTGCGGCGGTAGGCGATGTCTTTAGTTGCCATGCCATCGAAAATCCCACACCTGACTCGGAGATGTACCTATTGAAGCGTTATGGACCAACTGTGCCCAATGAAACGCTCACAATGTTAGTAAATGCATTTGGTGAGCTTCGTACCCTGGCGGACGAGGGGCTACTTAATTATCCGTACTCTACGCGGGAAGTTGTGAGCATTGTAAGACATTTAGAGCGTTATCCACAAGACGACATGTGCGAGTTAATAGGAAACGTGCTAGACTTTGATCGCTACCAGCCGGAGGCATTGCAGCAGGTCACCCACGTGTTGACTAAACATGGTCTGTTAATCGAGGCATATGCAAAGGACGAATTACAGTCACTGCGCAATCAACGGCAGCTTCAGTTAAGCATCCAACGACACAGCGGGTTGGATGTGTCAGGATCCAAACTTGGTAAATTGGATCCAAAAAATGAGCCACATGTAGGTGGCAACACGTGGGCGGGCGGTAGCGGTGGACGTGATACAGCAGGTCTAGGAGGCAAAGGTGGACCATTTCGCCTGGACAAGGGGCATAACGTGTACCAATTGAGCGACGATGAGAAAGCTGATATTCCCGAGAAAATAACACAAGCCGCACGTGAAATGAATCGAAAAGCCTTTGAGCAGAAACTACAAGAGATCAAAATGTCCGCCCACGATCATCGTTTGTATGCGCAATTAAACGATCCCATCCGCATGCCAGTACAGCAGTTAAGGGCCATTTTGGAGGCTATGCAGACTAAGAGTAAAGAACGTCAGTGGCAAAAGTACCAAACTCAAGGCGAGCTAGATGACACGCGTCTCATTGAAGGCATCACCGGAGATAAAAACATTTACAAGCGACGTAGCGAGGCAAATCCCTGGGCCGATTATGTCCAGACAAAACCTAATCGCCTTAAGCTTGTGGTTGATGTCTCAGGATCTATGTACAGGTTAGTATTACACGATTTAACCGTGGTTGTTTTAACTTTTTACTTAACGACTTATTCCAAGGTTTAATGGCCATGATAGACGGTTGGACCGTGAATTAGAGGCGGTATTAATGGTCATGGAAGCATTCGAAGGTTACGAAAAAAAAATTGCTTACGATATTGTTGGCCATAGCGGCGAAGGCTGGAATCTGCCCTTCGTCAACTTGGGTAGTGTCCCTAAAAACGACAAGGAGCGCTACGATATAATACGTATGATGCGCGCTCATTCACAATTTTGTTGGTCCGGCGATAGCACTGTAAAAGCGGCAGAAGAGGCTTGCACTACTTTAGGCGCTGAGTTAAACTACGACAATGGCATTGTTGTTGTTCTTAGCGATGCTAATCTAGCGAGATATCGCATATTACCAAAGGATCTAGCTCTGTCTCTTAGCTGCGGTGAACCTAAGGTCAAGGGCTATGTTATCTTTATTGGAAGTCTAGCTGAAGAGGCCGACAAGTAATACAGATTTACCCAGATTAACACTGTACCAACTAACTGAAACATCTCTTATTCCAGAATAAAAACCGAGATGCCGGTAGGACAGAGCTACGTATGCATGGACCTTACCAAATTGCCGCAGATATTACAGAATATTTTTACTTCCTCTCTTTTTTAAAATGATTACAAGTTTGGATTGAAAATTGAGCTCGTTTAATTGTAATTTGAGATTTATATTTTTTTTGTGTAATTGTATAGCCTGTTTTAAAAAAAAAATAACTGTACCTAGCTCCGAGCTACTCAAAAACATACACAAACAATTCTACACGTTTCAAGCATGTTACATTTTCTGATATTTTTGGCATTTCAGGTAATAAAGGTCAACATTCATTCATTAATTCAAACTCAAAATCATAAAAAAGAAGGGCGCGCGTCAGACGCCTGCCAATAATGATATTTTATTTTACGCCCATGATCTGCCCATTCACACACATTTGTGTGTGTGTGTGGAGCTCGAAATTCCGAAGCCCTAGCCCTAGTCTATGACACAACGCCGCCCAAAGGCAGCCTGGTCAGCACTATTTCATTGTATCATACTGACTAGTGCCCAATTTAGTCGCTTATTTTTTATTTATGTTAACCTGTATATTTGTCCTAATTACAGTTTTGTCATAATCCCTTAATCTATATAACTCCTTTTTGTACCCTGAAACAGGGGTATAATGTATTTGCGCAAATGTAGAAGGCAGAAGGATGCGTCACCGACCCCATGTAGTATAAATGTTCTTGATCTGCAATTATAGCCGAGTGGATCTAGCCGTCTGTCTATCCGTCCGTCCGTATGTATGAACGCAAGGATCTCAAGTCTTTAACAATAATGGATACCTCGCCCTGTTATCAAGCAATCGATAAAAATCGTTACCTCAGTTCTGTTTTGAGCAAATCCGAAAGCCCCAGTCACCCAATTTGACATCTAGCTTCTAGAATAGTGTATGCAGATCAAGTATCTTTCATTTTATAGCTATCGCTACCACCCGACTTTTTCCCTTAGCTATAAATCAAATAAATAACGTAATTGGAAGACTCCACCAATATAAGGCACAATTTAAATGCAATTATCTTCTTGAGACTGTACAAGTATTCTATTGCACAATAAGATCTACTGCTGATTTCATCAAGATTGGTTAAGAAACACATAAGTTATTAAAGAAAACGTGTGCTGATAAATCTTGACAAGCGACGTGTTTGCGGCAGCTAGCGGAAATTGCAAGAATTTCTGTATGCATGTACAAACATATATTCACTCGCGTCTTTATTGAATTCCGTTCGATGTTGTCTTTGTTGCTAACTTTGTTGTCTCCATCTCCGCAAAATGGAACACTGACATTTTCCCCATTTAAAAGCGTACGACGATCACCTTTAACAACATTTAAATGCTCATTTCAGAATTTTTGACCCAGATTCACAACTTTGTATTGTAGATAACAAATGACCCCTTTTAAATATATATTGGCCACTCCTTCTACCGCGTTTGCATTTGTTATCATATACATTATATACTGGGTCGAGCCAAAAGTAGATCGCTACCTTAACTTTGTGGGTGTAATGGTTTAGACTGTAAATAAAAAATTTTTTTTGCGTTTTGTGATTACTGGCAACTTTAATTATTTTATTTTTTTATTGCCCACAGAATAGTTCATGATCGCGAGTTACAGTTATGTGATGGTACAACTTTACTACGTCAAGATCGCTACCAGGAGCTTCTGCGGCAGGGATTTAACAAAGGTCAGCTTACTGAACGAAATGTGTTGCCCATACCCGATTCTTTCCGCATCGTAGCTTTAGGGGAGCTTCCAAAACCCGGTGTTAATGAGTCTAACTGGCTGACACCGGAATTGTTAAGCATGTTTCTCTATCAGGACTTGCGGCCACTTCAGCAGAGTGAAGAGCAAGAACTATTGATGAAGTTATACGGCCATGTGCCGCCTGAGATGCTACAGCTTCTAACACTAGCACAACTCTTACGTAGCTCAAAAAATCCATTACTTCATGGTCTGGCCGAGACGCTATCGACACGTCGACTGCTAAAGGTGGGCCGACGCCTAAAGGCATACCCATCGAGCAACCCAAACAACGTTTGTGAAATTCTGCAGGATATATTTCTGATTAAGTTTATGCCTTCACTTACGCGTACGGCCTTGGAGCAGGCTATAAATCAAGCAGGAATTGAATTACGTTGTAATATAGGTCGAACCTGCGACTGGAACCGAAAACAAATCAGCGTAGAGAACAACAAACTACTTATTGGCGAAACTCTGATGCAGTTGCCAGAGACATCACTGGATCAGCAATCGAAGGTGCCTAGCACTCTGTTCTACGAAATGCCACAGCACGTTATGCTGCTAGAGCGCCTTCTGCAGGACTATCTTATAGGTGAGCATTTGCTGTTGGTAGGCAAAAACAAGCTCGTCGATCGTTTAAAAGAGCTCATGCGCCGGCCCCGTGAATATTTGCAGCTACATAGGGATACAACAGTACACAGCCTAACAGTGCAATCGACTCTACGCGATGGCAGAGTGGTCTTTGAAGACAGCGCCTTGGTGAAAGCTGTAAAAACAGGTCATACGCTCGTTATAGACGATGCGGACAAAGCGCCGGTTAATGTTTCCTGCATTCTCCGAACTCTAGGCGAGAGCGGTGAGATGCTGCTATCAGATGGGCGTCGGATTTTGCCACACGGGGCTAGTGCAACGGCACCCAATTGCATCGAGACTCACAGTGACTTTCGACTGATTGTGCTAGCAAACTGGCCAGGGTTTCCGTTTTTAGGTAACGATTTCTTTGCGGCGGTAGGCGATGTCTTTAGTTGCCATGCCATCGAAAATCCCACACCCGACTCGGAGATGTAACTATTGAAGCGCTATGGACCAACTGTGCCCAATGAAACGCTCACAATGTTAGTAAATGCATTTGGTGAGCTTCGTACCCTGGCGGACGAGGGGCTACTTAATTATCCGTACTCTACGCGGGAAGTTGTGAGCATTGTAAGACATTTAGAGCGTTATCCACAAGACGACATGTGCGAGTTAATAGGAAACGTGCTAGACTTTGATCGCTACCAGCCGGAGGCATTGCAGCAGGTCACCCACGTGTTGACTAAACATGGTCTGTTAATCGAGGCATATGCAAAGGACGAATTACAGTCACTGCGCAATCAACGGCAGCTCCAGTTAAGCATCCAACAACACAGCGGGTTGGATGTGTCAGGATCCAAACTTGGTAAATTGGATCCAAAAAATGAGCCACATGTAGGTGGCAACACGTGGGCGGTCGGTAGCGGTGGACGTGATACAGCAGGTCTAGGAGGCAAAGGTGGACCATTTCGCCTGGACAAGGGGCATAACGTGTACCAATTGGGCGACGATGAGAAAGCTGATATTCCCGAGAAAATAACACAAGCCGCAATTAATTATGCGCAATTAAACGATTCCATCCGCATGCCAGTACAGCAGTTAAGGGCCATTTTGGAGGCTATGCAGACTAAGAGTAAAGAACGTCAGTGGCAAAAGTACCAAACTCAAGGCGAGCTAGATGACACGCGTCTCATTGAAGGCATCACCGGAGATAAAAACATTTACAAGCGACGTAGCGAGGCAAATCCCTGGGCCGATTATGTCCAGACAAAACCTAATCGCCTTAAGCTTGTGGTTGATGTCTCAGGATCTATGTACAGGTTAGTATTACGCGATTTAACCGTGGTTGTTTTAACTTTTTACTTAACGACTTATCCCAAGGTTTAATGGCCATGATAGACGGTTGGACCGTGAATTAGAGGCGGTATTAATGGTCATGGAAGCATTCGAAGGTTACGAAAAAAAAATTGCTTACGATATTGTTGGCCATAGCGGCGAAGGCTGGAATCTGCCCTTCGTCAACTTGGGTAGTGTCCCTAAAAACGACAAGGAGCGCTACGATATAATACGTATGATGCGCGCTCATTCACAATTTTGTTGGTCCGGCGATAGAACTGTAAAAGCGGCAGAAGAGGCTTGCACTACTTTAGGCGCTGAGTTAAACTACGACAATGGCATTGTTGTTGTTCTTAGCGATGCTTATCTAGCGCGATGTCGCATATTACCAAAGGATCTAGCTCTGTCTCTTAGCTGCGGTGAACCTAAGGTCAAGGGCTATGTTATCTTTATTGGAAGTCTAGCTGAAGAGGCCGACAAGTAATGCAGATTTACCCAGATTAACACTGTACCAACTAACTGAAACATCTCTTATTCCAGAATAAAAACCGAATTGCCGGTAGGACAGAGCTACGTATGCATGGATCTTACCAAATTGCCGCAGATATTACAGAATATTTTTACTTCCTCTCTTTTTTAAAATGATAACAAGTTTGGATTGGAAATTGAGCTCGTTTAATTGTTATTTGAGATTTATATTTTTTTTGTGTATTTGTATAGCCTGTTTTAAAAAAAAAATAACTGTACCTAGCTCCGAGCTACTCAAAAACATACACAAACAATTCTACACGTTTCAAGCATGTTACATTTTCTGATATTTTTGGGATTACGCAAGCCGTAAGGACCCTACATACGAATTTATTGAACACATGTTTCAGATATTTTAAAAATTCCACCAGTAACTGTCGTAGAAAGCGTAAAATGGTTATATCACTAACCAAACAGTTAGTTTCTTCTCTTTATGCTTCAGGTAATAAGGGTCAACATTCATTCATTAATTCAAACTCAAAATCATAAAAAAGAAGGGCGCGCGTCAGACCAATACCAATAATGATATTTTATTTTACGCCCATGATCTGCCCATTCACACACATTTGTGTGTGTGTGTGGAGCTCGAAATTCAGAAATCCCAAAATATTGTCAAATTTGCATCGGATAGGCAGGCAGGGACCAACAGGCACACAAGCGCATAAATGCTTCTATTCATATACAAAATATGCAAGTATGCGTGAATAGCAAGTCCAAAAACTTTTAAATGCACACATGCCAACGCTTAGGTACCCTTTCAAACAAGAACGAGCTAAAATGAAAGAATTTCGCATCGACTTGGCAAACCCTTTCATTATTTCATATTACTCGTCCCCTCAAAGGGGAAGAATTGCTACCGACTTTTGAGAAAAATTGCTTGTGCGGACATGTACATACACAAACATTAGAACGGTACAAAGACAAATTGAAAGAGCACTGAGAGTAAGCCAAAGCAGTTTCCTGTAGTGGGAGAGAGATAAAAAACAGCGATGCCGTTCTATCGCACAAATCATATGGATGAGAGTAAGCCAAAGCAGTTTCCTGTAGAGTGAGCAACTAAAAAGACAGCGATGCCGTTCTACGACACAGGTCTTATGTATTCTTATTCTCTTGCTGTGAGAACAAAAACGAAGGCGACTTTGGACCAGCCTCACTGAAAACGCTTGTCACCACCAATTGTACTGTTTGTCCAGTCTATATGTTATTTGGTTAGTGATACTAGTAATAAGGAATTATCGATAGTCTGATTTGTGATGTTGAGTAGACCGGACATGGAGAAAACCGCAAACTCAAGAAAAAAGGGGAAAACGAGACTGGGAATAGTTTTGTCATGTAATTTGGCAAGAAAATTAATAAAATAATTGTTAAATTAAGTAAATTACGTGTTAGTGACTTGGATATTATTGCGAGACAAAATAACATGCCAATCACAGGAAATAAACTAGCAAAAGTCGAGGAAATCGCAAGATTGTTGGGGTCTGATGAAATAGATTTAGACGATTATGATCTTGACGAATACAATCAGAGCACGAATATGCAAAAACAGATGGATGAGCGATGCAAGCTATGAGTGTGCAGTTAAATGGGCAATCCCAAGGAGTGGATCAGCCATTGGCACGAACTCAACTTTCGACGAAAGCGCATCATCAGGGGCGATTGATAGTGGTGTAAACATTAAGGATGTTCTTGGAATGTTATCAGAATTTGATCCAATAAAGGGCCACATAACATCAGAACAGTTTATCGACAAAGTAGAACAATTACAACGAATGTAGAATTGGAGTGTCGGCACTATTTTATTTTCTGTGGACCATAAAATGAGATGCGTAGCGAAAGATTGGTTAGATGCACAGACAGTGTATCATACATGGCGCCAATTTAAAGCCGCATTGATAAAGGATTTTCCTAGTCAGGTTAGTATGGCAGGTGTGCACAGGCAAATGATGCAGCAGAAACGCAAGTACTACGAGTCAACGATCGGGTACTTTAATGCAATGCTGGCATTAGGACGTCGAGCTTATATTGATGAGCCATCGATAAATTAGTATATTATCAAGAATTCGAGACGATCCACTAAGACAATACCATTAAGGCAGCATGTAAGTGAAAATCGTAACTTTTAGACAAATCCCATTAGAAGAAAATAAAATAAAAAAAAAATAATAGAATAAATTTACTTTACCGCCAATTATTCGATTTAATAATACTGTACGTGTTTTGTTTGAATATTTTAAGCAAAACCATAATAAAAAGAAAATATGAGCGATGCGTTAAAAATCTAATAAATCCTATTGTAAATAATAAAGAATTTAGAGCGAACGCCGATCCGTCAGCGTAACGGACGATATTGACGATTTACTTTTTAGCCAACAGA